TATTCTTTAGACCCATGGATGGGCAACCGGATGAATTTGTAGTGGCCCATAGGCGTAGAGAACACCATTTTCTATTGGTCTTCCTCTCAAATTTTAACGTTGTAGAATCCATGAAACAAGTCTAAGGCTGTGAAGAAGCGGGCATTAGCTAACTCCTCAAAAATCTGGTTGACACAGGGAAGTGGGTGAGCATCAGTAATGACATGATTGTTTAGACACCTGAAGTCAACTACCATCCTCCAGCCACCATCTTCTTTCTTGACCATCAAGGTTGGACTATTGTGAGGCAATTTGGAGGGGCGTACAATTTTGTGACTCAAAAGGTTGTTAGTATAAGCATTCACCTTTGTACGCATCATATGGGGGAGCGGATATTGGCAGGTAAATACAGGTTTTTTGGTATCTAGGGGTATGTTGGCTTCATAAAGCAGTCATAATCCCAAATGATCAGATTTCTGTGCCATTTCATTTCAGCAATTTGCTGAGGGGACTTACCAGTCAATCAGGGCATTCCAAAAGTTTGATTTTTTCCTCAATTAGTTGAGAAAGGTCTTTTTCTTCCAACTTACTGTGGATTCCTTCCAATGAATCTTTAACTGCATTGGTCATTTTAGTATTTTTGACATTATTCACCTGAGCCTTTGGGACTATCTCAAAATCCTTTACTGTTGCCGTTGTGACCGTTACTCTGGGAGATATAGTGGAATTTTTGTCTCCTAAATTTAAGCACATCACCAGGTAATAGGGTAATATCCCTTATGTTTTTGAGAAACACTGCGGGCTATAACAATGTTGCCACAAAGACTGTTGGAAACAAGGATGGGTTTGTCTTTTATGGTTTTTCCACCTTTTTGGATATTTTGGTGAATAACAGCAATTGGGATCTTTTGGGAATGACTGTAGCAGTTTGTAAATACAAGCGGAAAACCATAGCTGGAGCCAATCTATTTTCTCTTATGGCAGTTCTGATCTTACCACCTTTTGTTGACTCAGTCAAGAATTTAATTCTTACCTTGTTTAGTGAAAGGAGTCTGTCAGGGTACAACATTTCTGCCTTCATTTGCTTTAGAAGATAGGATCCAACTATCCCTTCAAATTCATGACCGCGTATTTTGAACAGGAAAAAGCAAACAGTTGCTAAATACATGGAATTGCTATACAATTTTACACATACAATCCCTGAGACGGGCATTTCCCGCATGTAACTCTATTGTGGCAATGGTCATTGCTGATGACATGGGGGTTATCTTGGGTTTTAACACAACATTAGACAAAAGAGATATTTCAGAGCCAGAATCAATAAGGAACTTGACTGGGAAATGGGTGATGTTTGTTTGCAGAATGATTACCAGTAACCTTGTCAGGGAGAGGGTCGAAGTTCCGGTCAATACTTGTTTCCCAAGTACTGTTCACCATTGTTGATGTATCCCTCTGGTAATAATTCTTCCTCCTCATCTTAGCCGTATTCTTCCTGTTCATATTCTTTGCCGCCTTGCAGCTTGTTCACAAAGTTCACTTTTTGTCTGTGTCCAAGTCCAGATCAGCACCAACTTCTGCCCATTGCAGAGCAACCCGTAGCACCTCCAGTAAACAACTGTGGGGGGGCGGCTGTCCTTTTCAGGCGCTAGATATACAAACTTCCTCTGCGCAGGTTTAGCAGGCTCCCAACTTGCATTTTGACACTAACTGTGGAAATGACCCTTCTGGCCACGCCCATAGCAACTTGTGGACGTGCATATGTCAGGTGAATTAGCACCACCGTAAGAAGGGCAAGTCGTCAAACAATACAACAATTGGTGTCATGATGAAGAACAAGTGGCTTGGCAATCTCTTTCACAATCCTCTACTGAGATTGCGTATGTGATGGCCAACTCAAAGTCTTCAAAAGTGGTACGTATTGAGTCCCCAACTTCCGGTATGAGTCTGTTCATAAATGTTGTCAAAAGAAAACCATCAAGAAAATTCTTCTTGCCATGGTATTCCCAACACTCTTTCACATAGAAGGGGTTGGGTAACAACGTGGCTGGTTGGTTCTCTCTGCAAATTACTTTTAGCTTGCCCTGGGGATTGCCCAGTAAGAAGTTTCCTCCTCAGCGCACCCAAGCTCCAAAGGTCTGTACCCATTTGTTTGGGTACTGACGCATGTTTTTCAGGTCCTTCATTAACTTTGAAATTACTTCACGCCCAAACATCTCTTGAAAGGTTTTCACTATGACTCTATATTGAGCCTTAGTCAAAACCTGTATAGATGTAACGTAAATCTGGGCTTCACCCTTGAGCTTACTTAATGAGTTGGTCCAGATGCTCTTGTCCAATTAGACTCCATTTTATAGGGCACCTTGAAAGGTAGCCCACCACTCTTGCCAATTTAATGGGCCGGTTCCATCAAAAGATGGTATTTGGCTCATCCCCTGCAAGGCCTGTTGCATACTCATGGTGGTGGATTGTGTCTTGCATAAGTGCTCAACATTGTAAACAAAGACTTCATTGGCACTTGGTTTGGTGATCTGATCTAACATTAATTCTTGGTTCACAAGCACTTGCCTAACCCCTATACCATCAGCTAAGTTATTTTTCTTACTGCATAATTCCTCCTTCAGGTGCTTGGAAAACAATAGCAATTGGGTGTTGTCTATTGCCCCGTTGTGGAGTTTGATCTCCAGGAGATTAGGTTCAGACTTGCCACAATGCTCTTTGCAATTTCCAATGGACCATCTAGAGCCCTTAAGGCCTCAAGCTTTTGTTTGAGTGCCAATTTTGCTTTGGCTGTTGCTGCAGGGTCAGTTTTAGCTAACTCAGCCTCAATTTTTAAGATCTCCGCTTTGCACTCTTTCTGTTGTTTCTTGGCAACTTTGGCCTGTTTGCAAGGGGCAATGTCTAACAAATTTCTATCGACCATGTCATATACGTCAGTTACAATGCGTGACAAGTTGAGTTGGGAGACATTTGTGGTACCAGTGGCCATTTTCTTCACAATCCTCCACACACCAGTTGCACTTGTAGTCACTCACTTGCAATTTTTGCTACCGTATTCTACAGCACTTTTCCGCAAGGGCTGGCAGTTGTGTAGAGTGGTAACTGTTGGTTGGCTTAGTAAACTTAGAATTCAAAAAAAGCACTTGAAGTTTTGCTCTTACAGTTAACACCACTCACTCTGGGTAAAAAGAAGAAAAATGAAGAAATAAAAATTCAGAACTGGCAATTTGTTAATTTCTGTGACAATGGATTGGACACATTGGTGCTGATGGGTAAAAACATGTGGGTGAAGACAAAACTTGTGTCCCCTTGAAGATTGGCATAAACTAATTCCTTCAGCTCCTCTGGACTTCTTATCTGACCAAAAGGAAACAAAAGGCCGCTCATTGAGTACTGCAAATAAAGGATTTTGAAAATTTATGAATTTTGAATCAATACAAAGTCATCATAATAATAGTGAGTCCTCATACTCCTGGAACAGCGTAATAATACCCTGTTCTCAAAGTGAGTTTCATATGTGAAGTTTGGCATGGCAACATGCCAGATTCAATGTACCAGAACATTGCAACAATGTTTGCTGACTGGTCATTCACATGACTTGGTTTACTTTCTGTTTCTTCTTATTCATGCGTGGTCAGTTACCTGTCTCACGCATCCAATGTCTATAAAGGAGCATCCAAACACTCCTTTCATTGCTCATTGCTGGTCTGGACTGTTGTGCATGATCTGAAATATATGTATTTGGGACTAAGATAAGTTGTCTCATTCACTTTACTCTGGCCATAAGATTGATACTTCTTGGCAAGAGTTTGTCCTAACAGTAATCATTGGATAAGAGTTTGAAGGAGTATAATGCATAAAGATGTTCACGCGTAGTCCATAAGACTTTTATTTACATCCAACAGTTTAGGATAACAACACCTAAAAGGGGAGGAAACTAAAAGGTTAAAACACCTCACCGGGAACACTTGTTTTGGTAAGCCCTCAAGAATATGAGTAAAATCAAAGACAAACTTCTGCAACGCTTTCTCCACTCTGACGTTGGTCACAAAGGTCTCTGGCCCACCCCCAGTCTCCAATAAGCGCTTAGGGAATCACTGATAATTAAGATGAGAATCTTGATCCCTGGTCTGTTAAGTCTTTTTGGCGCCAAGTGAGGAAATTCCGGAGTCCCATGAGTCCAATCCTATACACAGGGACAGCTTTTTGGGCAATTTTTATCCTGAAAATTGGGGGTGTGTGCATTACTTGAGGACGTGTGGCACTCAAGTAAATACGGTATATTGCTGTTTTAGCCATCATTCTCCAAATTTGATCCAGAGACTCTTGTAATTGTTTTCAAGACCTTTTGCAGAGATTTTAGCAAGACTTCTTAAACTTACTAGTATCTTTATTGGCTGAATTGTTTGCATTGTTCAAAATATATGTGTTTGAAAAAATATAGATCCATATATGCTATATATACCTGTAGGCTTATATACAACCATACAATATTTATTCATTTCCGTGCATCCAAATATTTTTATTCAGTAAAGATTACATGTTCCTTCCCAGCTTCATCCTTTCTTGCCCATCCCAAACCCTGTATTGCTACTGTTTGCTGCAGTGTGGCAAAATGGCCATGCAGTGGGATTTCTACCATGCAAAAGCTTTTATCATGCACCCAGGTTGCACCCTGGAATACAGGTGGTACCTTAATTGCAATTTGACATCTTACAATTCAACTGTCCCACAATTTGACAGACGCATTTTCTGGGATGTCAACTCTTATTTTGACCTCTGCTGTGCAATTTTACCAGCAGAGAGACATGAAACATCAAATGCCATATAGAAAACATTCCACTTGAAACAATTTTAATGCTTCACAATTTAGCCCTAGTCTCCATAGCAATGCATTAGGGTCAAATTGTGAGGTACCACCTGTTGTTGACAATGTGGCAACATCTTGCTGGGACCCAACAACAGGGATGAAATTTCTAACACTATAGTATATGCAGGGGTATAGCACTAAATTGGGGCACCAAATGGAGAGTTGACTGTATTTGAATTCATGGGTATGTGGCAAAAGTGAAACTATGTCCATTTCTATTCCTTTTCGCACTCTAGAAACCATACCAAGACGCATTGAGCAGTCCTATGAACCAGATTTCAACTTAACTGATGAAGAAACACTCACCAGAATGGAGGCGGAAATTCCTAATGTCCCTGTCAAGTTCTGGAGATCCGTGGAAAAAAAATTGCACATTATGCAAAAAGGTGGCAATTGTGCACAAATGCCCAACATTTTTGAATTGGCGTTCAACAACTTGGTCTGGCAACAGGTGAAGACCAGCAAAGGAACATTCTACTTATATTCCGCATACTTTGACATCCGTCCACTTTCACCTGCTCCAACGCTTCGGATCCTGTCAATGATCGAGCAGGTTGAGCCAACTGTACCCACTTTCTGCCAAATCTGGTTCGAAAACAGCACTAAACCCGTGATAGCTAATGTATCCCAGTACAGAATCCTTTGGAACAAGGCTTGGGGAACCGGGAACAAGATCCATCCCTTTTCCATTGAATGCGAGGTGCCTTCGGTGAATAATAAGACAGTGGTTCCAGTCGCAGTTTCCGTGGTGGAAAATTCCTGTGACAAGGCCTCAAACCTGGTGAAAGTGACCCACAGAACCCTGGAACCCGGGAAGAAGAAGTCGATTGCTGTTTGCGTCAAACGCATGCAGTTTGTGCATGAAGAACCCGTCTTCAAACTGATTGAATTTCTGGAACTGGTTCGAGTTTTGGGTGCGGAAAAGGTTTATCTTTACGCCTATGAACCGCAGCCGAATCCAAGAGTTGAGAGAATCCTCAGGTATTTCGTTTTTCCCTTAAAAAAAAAAAATTCGGAAACAAACCATTATTGAATCTCCATTTTATTAAAGTCATTTCTATAGTAGGTCTCTAAATTGAAGTACAGTAAATTACTGTTTTTCCATAGTAAAGTAGACTTATATACCTACATAGACTGGAAGAAAAGGTTGAAGGCAAATGGGACATGACCTGATAGAAGTTCATATGCCAATATGAAAACCAAAGCAGTTCATTCTTCTATTCTCCAGAATGTTGTCTATTTGGGAAATTTACAGAAATGCATGCATATACTGTATATGCTCCAATGAATGAGCAGGATTTATTTAAAATTTTCAATCTTCCCTTGTCTGGCCTCTAACAGAGACCAGCTACCTTGAACGCCATTATAGAGACCCAGTAATCATCATAGACTGGCATCTACTACAGACCTAACATTTTTTTGAGCAAACATTTTGAGCATGAAGGAAGCAATAACCATGCATCACAGCCATCACTTATCTTACCTGCATAATGAAAAAAGGCTGATAGTTCATGAAAAGTTTACCTTCTGTGGTGGTTACCTGGTTTTCAACAGTTCTTCAATAATTGGTCAATCAATACATTTGAATTATTGAAGCACTAATAAGAAAAACTCATTCAAACTTCCCAATATGAACATGCTTTTGAATAGCACCCTCATTTTGATTTTCAAATTTGTTCTTCAGAGAAAGATGTGTTTGGAACTTCATAGAATACTGTTGATCTATACATCAATCCATTTCAGAAAAATGTAAGTTTCCTTCACACCAATACAATAAATTTGGAATTTTAATTTGCCCTGTTTTGACAGTTTTCTCAAAGTTTAGAAAAGAGTAACCCTTGTGGATCCCTGGAAATGTTCTTTGAATTTTTATGACCATAAAAAGTACATGGGTGTACAAAATGTATCCTTAATTATTTCAATAAACCATATGCAAATGTACAACCATTGAATATCATACAGTAAAAGTGGCGCCCTGCAATATGAACTGAATCCATTGCTGCACTAAAGTAAAACTCTCAATAGGTCAAATTGCAAGACAAATTCAAATGCATAGTTGAATACATATCATATTTGACAGTTTGTTTCTCATATGGGTGGAATTGTGGACAGTTGGTCAAATTACAAGTTTACATCCCTGCAAATTTAACCATTGAAATGCAGGATGGACATATAGCAGGGTGTGGTCAAATTGCAAAGCAATGGAATTGCAATACAATGTTGAATGACATGTTTTCTACATGGCATTTGATGTTTCATGCCTCTACACAGGTGGAATTGTGTGGTAGAGGTCATATTGAGAGTCAACCTCCCAGAAAATTTGACCATCAAATTGCAGGACAGTTTAATTGTGAGAGGTGGAATTGCAAAATATTGCCTGTATTACAATATGGTTGAGCATTCATTGGAAGCAGAGGATGGGTGAAATTCACACAATGCTTTGAAATATTTTCAATTTTATTCATAATTCCTATTTTATTCATAAATTCAATTTTATTCATATTTTCAACTTTATTCATATTTTCAATTTTATTCATATTTTCAATTTTATTAATATTTTCAATTTTATTAATATTTTCAATTTTATTCATTTCTTCAATTTTATTCAATTCTTCAATTTTATTCATATTTTCAATATTATTCATATTTTCAATTCCATATAGTCAATTTATTCGTATTGGTTATGTAAATCCTGAGGAATTTCACGCTGGATATACTATATTTAAATTGCTGGTGCTGATTTTTTCTTCAAAAGGTATTACGAAGCTCAGGGGTTGCTTGAAGTCTCTCGGGTGACAATGCCGGCTTCTCGGCCAAATTCTCCCATTTTGCGTCACTTGTTCTTCGAAAAGCATGGTACCCTGGTTTATATCCACCAAATGGTATCAATATGCGATTGCATCTACAAGAGCTTCTACCAGCACGATTTAGTCGCACTGATTGACCTGGACGAGGTCATCATTCCAGAAAATGGTTTGACCTGGCGAGAGATTATCAAAAACGTGACGAATGGCACAGGGTACTCCGCGATCACATTCAACAACGCCTATTACCCCCTTAATAACCCCAAGCCCGAAAACTGGAACCCGGGTTTCCCAGCCGAGTTCCCCATGCTGAACACGGTTTACAGGCTTGCCAACTACTCGAAACCTGGGGATTACGTGAAACCCTTCCTCAACACATCTGATGTTCTCATAGCGCACAGTCATCTGCCTCTGGGCTGCATTGGGCCGGGTTGCAGGAGGAAAGATGTGCCTGTCAGTGCTGGAACTTGGCATCACTATAGAACAGATTTGAAAGGTGAAATGAAGAACCAGCCCTCGTCTGATAACACCACTGTGGCGGATTATTCCCTGTGGAAGTGGAAGGATGAACTAGTCAAGAGAGCCACAAGAGCTGCCAAAGATCTGGGATATCTTTGAAGCTTCCTTGATTTGACACAAAGGAAAAACTGTCAGCAATCTGCCATTGATTTTTGTTGTTGTGGATTAACTTCAGTGTGTTTTGTTTTTATTTGGTTGCTTGCGTTCAATTCTTATATGGTTGTGTTTTTTGCTCAGAGCAGGAGGTGATCCAGAATTCAGGCACGTTTGTGATAGTTCAAGCTATGACAATAGATGTGCAAGCATCAGGGAAAGTTGGTGTGGTTCCGTGTGATACTTTTTGAGAGAGAAACAAGTGTGAAATGATTATTTATGCTTGAAAACTTGAGATTATTTTGTGTGAATAATTTTGATGGTTCTGGAAACGTGTTCCTTGTGGAAAATAAAACTGAAAAGATACTGAAGAAATGTGATTAATCTTTTATGAAGATTTGTGTAACTGATATTAGATTCACAATAAGGCAAAAAATTTTCACAGCTCACACCAAAAGAGAAGGAGTGCATTCAGAACATATGTAGGTGTAGATAACTTTGAAGGATAAATTGGTCACAAACCTGCTAATGAAATACAGTGAGACCCCCAGATGTGGACATAGTTGGAGCATCAAGACTGAAGAGTGTCCCTAAGTTGATATGTCCCTAAGTGAAGTCTTGTTGTCCCAGGGTCTTGGATTATAACGTTTTTAATTGGTGTTTTATGGAAGAAATATTCTTTAGAATTCTGTGAAAAAATTATTTGCCACTTGAATTTGATTCAGTGAATATATTTTCAACTCAAAGAGAACATTTGGAGCATTAAATAGTGTATATCTGTTCTGTACATTGAAACATTGACATCAACAAAAATAACATTCAAGTCACAACGAAAGGAGGAAGTCTTGCACGAATCTTAGGTTGGGAATGTCTGATTCTTGCAATCAAGCTGAATAATAGTCAATTTTTGTGAAATTTATTGGCAGTATCATCATTCAATGTCCTCATGTTAAGTCAGTGTCCATATTTTAGGCCTTTTTATGCCCTTTCTATTGAAAAATGAATGTCCCTATGTTGAATTGCCCACTTGTTAAGGTATCTGCATGTGGGGGTTTAACTGTACATACAATTTATCAAATTGATTCTAAATTGTTGTGGAAGCTCTTTCAAAATTGAATTGTCAACAGCAATTATTAGAGAAACATCCTGTTATCAAATCCACTTGCTTTCAGTTAGGAGTATTCTCAAACTGACTTGTTGGCTACTGTGAGCTCTTTCCATAAAGTGGCGGCAAGAAGAAGTCAAGAGTGGTTCTTACAAAGAATTACTTTACTGAGCCAATTTTTGTGTTTTGTTTTCAATAGGATTTATTGGCTCTTCCTGGTATATTTCTGAAAGGCGTGCAGATGTGGATTGGTGCCCCAAAAGATAATTGGCAAAAACCATCTGGTGGCAGTTGAGCTGTAAAAAGGATAGTCCTCCCGAAAATAAATAGGGGTCCTCTGTTTTTATTAAGGACTGAATCACCCATAACTTGGGAATTTGTTGCTTTTCTCCACCTGCAACTGCCAAGAACAAAAATGTGGAAGACCTGGGAAAAATTTGCCTGAAAGAAGACAATTCATTCTCACAGAATTTTCTCCTTCTAAAATCCATTTCCCTGAATTTTACTGTGCATTTATGATTTAACTTACAAGAATTCTGTTTTGCTTTGTGCATATCAAGGGTACATCTGATCCCAGAAAAAGGAATTGAATTGTGCAGCCATTAGAATGCAAGTTTTGAAGAAAAATGCAAACTCTTTTCAGAGGAGTTCATTCTCATTGCCCAGTTCATCAATTGGCTGTTAATTCAATATAATGGCAGAGGCAATTATAAGATTGGTTGGTTAGCTCAGAATAATTAATGAGGTAATTTGAAGGTAAAAGGCCCTTTAACACAAGGTTCTGACTTCTCCTCTCAACGAGGAATGAGGGTTTTTATACCCAGGTTCTTGGACTGGGTCAGGAAGAAATCAGGTGATTTCTTCCTGGCTCAGGATTGGCCATTCAGGCAAAATCAAAGAAGTGCTGACCACTTCTTGTCCTTGCTTGAGGCTCAGTGAGTCTGGCAAAAATGGGATTTTTGGGAGGCTCACTGGCCTCAGAAATACAACAAGTTTTGGGGTCTGGTTTCAACTGGATGCTGGAGCTGCATCGCTTTGGGCCGGGACAGTGCACTCCATGTTGGCCAAACTTCCTGTAAAGTATATATGCTGAATTCCCTGCTGTGTCAGAAACATCCCCCATGCAGAGAACATTGCACCACCACTTCCATAATTTAAAATTACAGTTACCAGTAGAAAAGCAAGGAAAAGTCAGGATCAACAAAACCAAATCAACATCAGACATTTCCAATTCCAATTACAGTGATCCAACATCAAGGAAGAATGATTTGTAACTGACGATCCTTCCTCCAGAAAATATCACTCTCGCAAAAAACAACATTGAATACAGCATGGTATTAAAACAGAACAAAAGCGCATTATTGTTTTGAACATTTTTGATGTCTCGAAAGCAATTGTTTCATTCATTCTGAAGGAAATCAAATCTTTCACAAATTTGTACGGAATAAAGCAGGGAAAACAATAAGATCTGCATTACCAGTGTTAGCATTAATTTATGCCTCTCTTTTTTATCATTAGCAATAATTAAAAAACTATTTTCTTTTGCCTGTTTTGATATGGATTAATTTTGAACTTTTTCTACATTGATTTACCTTTGCTTGGGATGCATTGGGAAAACCCCAGCCATTTTGTCATCAGCTTGCTAAAAACCGAAGTATTCTTGTTAGCAAATTTAAAAAAATCTTGTGCGAAATTTATTTGGCGGCAAAGGACGCCGCCACGAAAAAAAGAGGGGCCGTTGACTTGAAATTTAATCGGCGCATCTCGGGATGCGCCGAAAAAGACGAGAACAAGAAAAGTTGGTGCCCCAAAAAATCGGGGCAACCGAAAACCAAAAAATCCTGAAAAGGAACAGAATAGAACTAAAAAATAATCCCCGGAACCGGGGCAATTCGAGCTGCTTGTAAAATCTGTGCACTCGTAAAATAAGGGAGACATCTCCCTCAGCAAAAATCCGAAACTCAGGGACAAACGAAAATTATTGCCAGCTGCTGGCGAAAACAAGCAGAAACAGATCTTCTTTCCAAAAAAGCAATTTATCTCTAAACTACAAACTG